GATATTGGGTTCAAGACTAGAGTTACCCTTGATGACGCTCTAGATATTCTAAAAGTGTGGAGAACTGAGAAACTTTTCAAGACAAGGTACTTATCTCATTATAATAGTTTGCATTAATTTGCCGAACGGCTGAAAGAGATTATTAATTTGCAAGGACAATAGTTTGAAATCATTTCATAGAACCCCAGAGATATTCAGAAATAAAAGTTTAAGCCACCCTGGCTGCTTCTTCCCTTCCAAGCTTTCTTTCAAGATTTTTTTTCCTCTAAAAAATCTGTATATTGCAGAAATTTTCTTGACGTCTTTTAATTTAAATTATGATCTCTTTAATTCAATTAACTCAGGTCTTGTGCTAAGTCTTAAAACCTTTACCGATTGTTGATATCTCGTGTTTCTTGAGATTCTGTGTTTTATGTGGAAACAATGAAATGCTTGTAAGCTGGTCCTGATATAAACTTTAAGGACCTTTCAATCAACCCGATATGTTTCCTTTATATTTAGGGACAGTCAGACATTTAGTCACTATTATTGTTAACATAATATATTTCCTTTTCAGCCTACTAATTTTTGTGCCAGATATGCAAGCCTCTCTCTGTAAATACCTTCAATTATATGCTTGAATTTGTTTGATCTTGAACCAAACTGTCCATTTATATTGCCTTCTTTGATATCTCAGCATATCACAAATGTGCACGTTCTATACATTCTTGTGGAATGAGATGGCTGCATCAAAACAGAAAATTTTGGAGGAATTCCTTTCAGGGCCTTTTATATTTGTCCCTATTGTGGCTGACTCTGGGCACGAGGATGTGGTGTCTGGTGTATTCTTGTCTCCTAAGGAAGTATATTGGTGCGATCCAATTGGCTCTATTGACAAGATTAAGGATGTATATCTTCAATTCAGCTCGACAAATATGGTTGATTGTCCCATAATCAAGACTTTATGCAATATTTATCCAGGGCTTAAGAGATTTTTTATTGACGAATGTGGAATATTTGAATACCCTCCTCTATGCAGTTATCTTCAGATTTTGAAACAGTTATCAGCTGTTGCTTTGCCTTCTCAAGCTAGTGATTTTGTAAGTCTTTACAATAATATATTGTTATTTTCTCAGAAATAATTTTAGGTGATGGCAACTGAAGTGCTACTTTCATGTAATAGGTATTCCAAGTTTTTCTAAAATGGGCCGATGGATTAAAATCCGGACTACTGAGTTCTGAAGATATGGCATACCTGAAGGAATGTATTGGAAGCTCGGAGTTCACGGTCCTTCCAACTGAACAAGATAAATGGGTTTCGCTTCATCCTTCCACCAGCATTGTATGCTGTTGTGATGACAAGATATTAAGACAGCAATGTAAGAATATGGGCAAAATAGATTTCGTATACTTCGGTGAGATCGACAGTGTTAGAACCGAGGCTTTCTCTCAGCTCTTGAAAGCTCTAGGGGTTCCTCTTCTTTCTGAGGTACATCTCTCTTATTTATTTTACCTTTGTGGAGTCTTGTGGAAATAGTTGGCATAAGAGCCTTACTGAACCACTGCAACTTTAGCTACTCGTCCAAAATAATGAACAAGTTTCTGAACATTGATTATTTGCTTTGTTCTCCGTTTGGACCTTGAAGTTCTTAGAAGTTTCAGTAAAGCTTTCAATCTTAGAAATGTCCTTTGTCTAAACTTCGAATAGAAAAAATCATTGGAAATATGATACCTTTTATATTTGAAAAGGGACAGGCGGATGTTTAGCCGCTCTTATAGTTAACATTACAAATTTCAGCAGGGACACAGGCATTTGATGGTGCGTATATTATACCTTAATGTATTTAAAATATTTTAGGAAGTTCCTGTTCAAGGGATTCTGTAAGCAGGATTGAAAAACCTCGATTCACGTACTGTCATTACTGTTTAATACATCAGCCCTACAAAGTGTGTCACTGTCTTATTGTGATTACCACATTGGTAGGGGAGGAGAACAAAAGATCCTTTATAAGGGTGTGAAAATCTTCCCCTAGCAGACGTGTTTTAAAGCCTTGAGGGAAGCCCGAAAGGGAAAGCCTAAAGAGGACAATATCTGCTAGCGGTGAATCTGGGTCGTTACACTTGCTGTTTCTTTTTTCACTTACGAGTCATGACTTTGAGCCATAACATTCAAGAAGTTGCACTATTGAAACGTTTAGAGGAACGAATTTGAAAATAGGCTCCACATATATTTTGCTTAAACCTGAAATAAAAGCAGTATTGAAAACTTTACTCATGAATTACTAAATGCAGATTGTAACCCGTGAAGCAAAATATTACGGTCTGAGGGACTCGAGCTTCAAAACTTCATTAATGAACTGGGCTCTTCCTTTTGCTCAGCGTTACATGTACAGTGTGCACCCTGAGAGATACGCGAAGCTCAAGCAATCTGGATTTTGTCTGCAAGTAATTGTTGTTGAAAAGCTGTTTTTCAGGAATGTTATAAAGAATTCTGGACGTGCTTCTGATGAACAGGTTCCATGTAGTTGTCTTCTACAGGTAATTTAGTTAAATTCCATACTTGATATTAAAAAGTTGTCAATAGAACCATGGCTTGTAATGCATGAATTTGTGCCGTTTCGGGATTGTCTCGAATAAATCAATGTGTACATTCATATATATGCTTAGAAACAAGGGACATAGCATTAAGATATTCAAAAGTACAAGAGAAGGATCTAGATTGAGGAAGGAGATTAACAAATTGCTCTTTAATTGGTCAGCCTGAGCTGGAAAAAAGAGTTTTCTCGTTGGAATACTCGCGTTTGGAAGCGAATGGTTGAATCTGCACAAGTATATATATATGTCCTGATTTGTATGATATTTGCTTTTGCAGGATAATATTTTATACACGACCCATGACTCGGATTCTCATTCGTTGTTTATGGAGTTTTCTCGTTTGCTATTCTGTGGAACTCCCGAGCTTCATTTGGCCAACTTCCTTCACATGATTACGACCATGGCCGAATCGGGTTCTACCAAAGAGCAAACTGAGTTTTTCATCCTGAATAGTCAGAAGGTGACGAAACTTCCTGAGGAGGAACCTATTTGGTCTCTTTCATCTGTCACTTCATTGGTCGAGACTCACAACTTACCTCAAACATGTCTTAACCCTACCTTACTGAACGACCATGGGTCGTCTTCGAAGTCTAAAAAGAATGCAGGAAATTGGCCGCCTGTTGATTGGAAAACGGCTCCGGGTTTTAGTTACGCTCGTGAAAATGGTTTCAAGACACAACCAGCAAGCTCACTGCCCAACTGCAATCTATATATAGAAAACATGTATGAAGTTATTGAGAAGCAAACAGAGAACTTGGCTCCGATTTCAACTGACACAGACTGGACCTATGATGGCGATTCATCTGCTGTGTCGGTAGCATCGATTGTTTATGGCAGTAGTGATAACGTCGGAGAACTTGTCAACCATGGTGATGCGAATCCTGAGGCCATTGGTTCTCAACCCGATTCGAGTGGCTTTTCCTGGAAAAATCAGCTTAGAACTGGCACCCCCAATCCAGTTCAGGCAATGGCAACTGGGAGACTCGGCGAGCAAGTCGCCTTCAAATACTTCACCGAAAAGTTCAGCAACACAGTAGTTGAGTGGGTCAATGAGGACTCGGAAACTGGATTCCCCTTCGATATAATCATAGGAGATGACGATGACGACAATAGACAGTACATTGAAGTGAAATCAACCAGATCCACAAAGAAAGATTGGTTCGACATATCAGTGAGAGAATGGCAATTTGCAGTCGAAAAGGGCGAATCGTTCAGCATTGCACACGTTTTGTTATTAGCCAACAACGTCGCCCGGGTTTTGGTTTTTAAGAACCCAGTTAAATTATGCCAGTCAAGCAAGCTCCAACTGGCTCTTTTAATGCCCAAACAGCAAAAGGAATTCTCCATTGTCTCCTCCTGAAATGACATTCTTCCTCATTCAACTCTTCCTGGGTAGCTGGTTATGCTGCAGCAAACAAGCAACGACAGCTCTCTGGTTCGATTTTTCAAGCTCGTCGAGGAGAATATCTCGACGTCGCTCGTCGGGAGCCTGGTTTTGTATGTATGATTTTCAATGGAGGCTTCAATTCTATTTATTACACTATTCTCTGAGTCTCATCTGTGAGAACTCACAGTGGGCTGTTTTTTAATTTTTGCCCACCTTGCAGTTGTTTACATGTAAATAAATTTTGAGGGTAGTAAAGTTAAAATCTTTTTAATTTTTTCCGTCCCAAAAAAACCCCTTTTATGTGTAAATAATTTGAGTTTTTATAATATTTTTATTTTCTTTTCAGTAAATTTGCAAAAATTATTTGTGAATTTTAACAGTAATTATAAGTATATTCTCAAACATTTAATTTTATTGTGGAATTTTATAATTAAATGGTTGAATATTGAAAATATAAGAATTACTTTTTTAGAGATTCATGCATTTGGTAACTTTTAAGGGTATAATTGTGACAATTTTGTAAATTTAGAGGCGTGATGAATCAAATGAAGATATCTATTTAACTTGCATGGCCTCATAAACACGACGATAGGGAAGCAAGGAGAGATTTATCCCTATTAGCTAAACGGATCTTGAGTCGGGTATCGTATTATTTGTCCTCGTCCTCAACCTTGACCCAAACCCAATTCTCATTTATGTCTTCGTCCCACCCCGTGGACTCGTTAATGGCTTAGAAGATAAAATGTTAGAAAGGGGTCAATACGACTCGTCTTTAATAGAACCGATTTGATTCTCTTAATGTTTCTGTCGGATCTTTTCTATCTCGTAATCAAGCTTGTATAGGTAAATATTGTCGGGTAGGCATGAATATGAGTCACATTCCATCTAAGAGTGCGATGGTAACTAATATTGATTTTTACTATTTTTACTACAATAATAATTATTTTCTCTTGGAAATGGGAAAATCATTATTATCCGTACAATTTCCTCAAGTGTTCGACATGTCGAATCACTATGAAGCGCAAAAGATGTGTCGTTTGTGTTCACAATCATAACACTAGAGCCTAGAGTTTGTGCCTCTAATCAGCTCGACAACAATGGCGTTTGCGTCTCGTTCTGCGATCCGCAAAGCAACCAATTTCTCCGATTATCTTCTGCGATCTTTCTCCACTTCCACTAAATCCGCTCACCATAACAATCACCAGCAAACGCACAAATACTTGGAGGCGAACGCCTTCGTTGGCAGCTGGGAGGCGCCGAAAGATCCCAAGGAAGCGCAGGCCAGGCTCGCTCTGCTTCGTAGGGATTACGCCAAGAAGGTGAAGCAGGTGCGGAAGAATTACATTCAGGAGGTCGAGCTCTTGAGACTCGAAAAGCAGCGTAAGGACGAAGCCAAGAGAGAGGCGCTTAGAGTGGTCAATGAGGAACGTAAGAAGCTTAAAGCCGAAGCTGCGAAAGCCCGAGCCGAAGAGCGTAAGGTTGCCGACGAAGAGTTCCGACAGACTTTGGTAAGCGATTTCCTTGTCTTCTTTAACAATTTCTTCTTCAGATGTTATTGTTTGAAGATTTTGATTGAAATGAATTTGCCTGCAAATGTATCCATTGCGTCTCCAAATTTTCTGGATTCAATCTCTGCTCTGAGTTTAATCGAACAGTTTCCTTTGCTTGAATTTGTCTGCTTACTCTTCCATGCTAAATGTTAATAGTGCTGCTCTGGTTTTCGTCTTATCTTTGCTTCCTCAATGCTTCTCGTAGTCTGTTTTTGGTAATTTTTGGTAATTTAATTGATGAACTTTGAATCTTTCAAAAGAATTGCCCATTGCAAATCAAAGTAATCTTTAAGAGGGTGGGGTAGCAAAAAAATTGCAAATCAGAGTACAAATGCTGTAATCTTCTAAAGGGTTGTGAACATTTAGACCAATATAAATGTGAGATCACAAGTCGGTTGTAGAGGAGAATGAAGCATTCTTTATAAGGGGTGGAAACCTCTCCCTAATAGACAATAGAAGTGTTTTAAAATTGTGAGGCTGACGACGATATGTAACGGGCCAAAGAGGACAATATGTGTTAGTGGTAGGCTTAAGCCAGATACGGGAGCTGTATGTTGGGTTATGGAGCATACCATATTACTATATATAGTAAACTGAACCATATATATATCCTCTCAAACAGAGCTTCGAAAATGTACTTTATGTATTTTCTTAGTGTACATACTCAAAGTCATCAATATAAACCTTTGGCCAATATTTATGTTTATCTAGATCGAGTGTGTGCGTTGTTGTGCGATCCTAACACGGTGTGCCAGCGAGGATGCTAGGCCTCCAAGGAGGGTGGATTGTGAGATCCCACGTCGGTTGGAGAGGGGAACAAAACATTCTTTATAACTACGAATTGGAGAGGGGAACAAAACATTCTTTATAACTACGAAAAGGAAGTGAAAAATAACCTTAGGAATACAACTTATATTTCATAGAAAGAAAACAAAAGACATGAGATCTTTATTCCACAAACTCGATGGCCTCTTGATCTTACCTATCTGCCTCCATTTTTGGCTTTCCTTGGAGATCACAACCTTTAGCTGATGCCAAAGCAATTTCCTATGTTCTTTGTTTACCAATATCAAATGCAACCTCTTTGATTCTTCCTTCTTATCCAGCTGAACAATAAATCCAATGAACCCTATGAATTTCAAGAACACTTCAAACTCCACTTCTTGAGAAGAGTTTTGAAGGCTTTAAGCTTTTGAGTAAGACAAAACCAACTCAACCAATGTTCAATGGAAATATTCACACTAAGGCTTCAAGAATGGCACAAAATCTTGTGATCAAGTGAAAAACATATCAAATATGAAAGAAATTGGTCACTGAGTATAATTTCCCAGCTCCCATAAAAATTGGGAAGTTGAGGAATAAACCATTGAACAAACAAATTTTAGAACAGCTAGGTCTTCAATAGAGGCTTAACTCTCTTATCTTTCTCATTTAGGGCTCCGAATTAATCACAAACTTTACAAAGGGGAGGGGTTTTAACTCTCTAAAAGGGGCTCAGTAACTCACATTCAAGTCACCTTCTCAAATATCCCTATGTATAATATACCTCTTTTCACATGGTTCGAAGGTGATTGTTTCGTTGAGAGGCCCTTTGAGAACTTCCTTTTACGAGTGGAAGTCAAATAAGGAGGTTGCCATTTGGTTAATTGGACTAAAGTCTAAATTTCCCTTTATCTTGGTGGGCCTGGTATTGATGTCTGTGGCCAGAGGAAAATCCTGCTTGTTGATACTCATAGAGATAACAGATGCACAAATTTGCAAAGTCAACTTTCAATAGAACATTTAGTTTCTGATTATTATTATTATCTATTACATCTTGGTGTTATCGAAATCATCTACATATACAATTACGCCTTATGGACCTTGTCATATTGACATTACGTTGTCACGTTTTCTGGATTGATTTGATTGACATACTCTTTTATGTAGTGTATGTAAAAGACTAGTTTATGCTTCATAGGAATTTATCAAAAAATAAATAACTACGTAAGTAGCTTAGTGGTAGAGCGGTCGACTGTTAATTGATTGGTCGTAGGTTTGAATCATACTTGGGGAGATTTAATTCCTTCTGAGTTTTAGAATTTGGAATGAAAGGGTTCGCTCTGACCTTTAAGAGTAGGTAACCCGTTTGTTTCTATTGCATTCTATCTCATCGTATTAAATTCTGTTATGCAATAGTTGAGAATCACCGTCAATACCTCGGTGTAGGTCTGGGATATAATCCTTTGTTCCACCTCTCTATTTACAACTATCTAAACATAAAGGTCAGTCGGTAGGTACAAAAATTTGACTTCAGTTGTCTTATGACCTTTGATTGGATTGACCAGTCTTGAAATTACTTCCTAAGGAGGATTTTAGTTCAAAAGGAAGGAAACCATTTGGTTGTTTTGGAGACATGCCCTATGTTATTTGTTTTTATCTTTTTTCTTGCATTTCATTCTAAAAGGGCTTACATTCGATACGATGATATCCACTGTTTTGAGACTCAATGCAGCCACGTAACACGATTTGATTGGGTGCCATATGCAGATGAAAGAACGAGCCGAGAAGCTCGAGCATTGGAGAATGATGGAAAAGACGAGGGAAGAAAAGAAGAACGAAAAGAACGAGCTAATAAGACGCCAGAGTCCCATGTGGATTGATGAGAAGAAGTTGGAAGAGAAGCTCTTAGACGCCATTGTTAATACCACCCCTCTCTGAGTTTTATTTCCGAGTTTTATTTAGAGAATTACTCTTACATTGAATTTTTGCATAACCAAGTTTTTGTTCACTTTAGTTGGGTTAAGTATTTGAACTTAATGGAATGTTAGTTCAAACTACACCTCTAATTTGTGATGAAAGCAGTTGACATCTCGAATAAAATGGAGTTTTTTAATACTTAATGTATCTTACTATATTACTATTAGAAGTCATTGGAAGTCTTTTGTGAAGTCATTTGTGTCGAGAATTTTGGGAGTGAGTCTCGAGCTGATTAATTTAGTAGAAAATCATGGATTTACAAGTGAGGAATACTATTTCCATTGGCACAAGACCTTTTGGGAAGCCTAAAGCTATGAAGGGTCGTTATTCCTAAGATTAAAAATAAGATATTTGTGAATAGAACGTCGAAAAATCAAATAATTAGATTTGGTGTTTGAATGAAAATATTATCAAAATTTTGTATAAGAAAATAACACTTTATAATATATTTGTTTGGTTCTTCTAATTACTTTCAAATTATATAAAACAAAAACTAATCATTAATTTATTTTTATTAAGTCAAAGGATTAGATAAACTGAATCAATTTAAATTTAAATTTAATTTTCATTCATTAAAAAATATATTATAACTAATATCTTAAATTTAAGATATTTTAACTTATTTATTTTAACTTATTTAGCAACCAATCTTAATAATTATCCTCAAATAAATAAATTTAATAAAATTCTATAAACTTTTATGTAAGAATTAATTATACAAAAACGATAACTAATATCTTAAATTTAAGATATTTTAACTTATTTAGATCAATCTTAATAATTATCCTCAAATAAATAAATTTAATAAAATTCTATAAACTTTTATGTAAGAATTAATTATACAAAAATGAAATAAAAACGAAATAAAAACGAAAAGTAGAAGGAAAAAAATAAAGTGAAAGGAGGAAGAATTAAAAAAAAAAAAATATATATATATATATATATATATATATATATATTTTTTTTTTTTACTAATTATACGTACAATCATAAAATCCATAATTTGGGCAATTTGAATATAAGGAAAATTTGAGAATTTATAAATAAATAAATAAATAAAGTAAAAAATTTGTAGCATTGGCCATGAAATTTGCACTTCTCCAGGAGTTGATATGTAATGAACTAATTGATTCTCAAAGCTGTGTCACTAAAACAACAACTGCTCTAAAGACAATTCTATAGAGCAAATCTGTGAAAGTTCCATATAAGTCAATTTCTATAAGAACAGTAAAAAACTCGAAAACTCGAAAACAGTAAAATAAACCAAAGGTAAAACACAATTTTACAGCTGCAGTAAAACCCAATCTAAATCAACGACAGCCATTCTGAGTATGATTTACATCCATATGAGAAGGGATAAAAAGAATGTCTAATCCTACTGATTATAGCCAGCCAAAACCAAAAATCCATTTCAAGATAAAAGAATGTTGTTTTCCTTCCAATCCAAGACCTAACTCGACTTCGATCACTGGCTCTTTGGTTTTTGAATCTTCACGTATGGAAACAATCCCAAAAAGTGGACTACGCTCGGGTTCCACTCGAGTTGTTGAGCACGACAAAACATTAAAAATGTATTTGCGAAATAAGAATTGAACCCCATAAATAAATGCCACAATGCATGACCCTGAGGGTTGAAATACCAGCTAGAGATATTCCTGCAGTACAAGCAATCAAAAAGCCAGCAAACAGTACCGAGCGAGATGGTTGTCAAGTATAACTTCGCCAGCCGCTTTGCGTGTACATCGTTCGTGTGAATATAATACTTGTACATTCTAGGGATGCAGATAAGACATAGTATTGCATAATGTACCTTGAAGCCCGCTCCAAAACGTATGATTGCATGAGCAACAGCAAAGGCAGCACCGTAGAGAAATAAGAACGTAGGCATCGTGCTCCGGTAATGCCAATCTGGCGAATACAGGATGTAGATATAGAGGAGCATTTCCCATACCATTGGTGTTTCATCACCTTGCTGTTGTCTGAAAATAAGTTTATCATTGAATCCAATAGATAAGATACTTTATAATGAATGAAGATTTAACAGAACATGCAACCCAATGCTAAAAACAGTATACATTTGCTAAAGATTATTGAAGTTCAGAAAAAATAATCTCATAGGGAAATCTTCAATACATGTACCAAACCTCGGCTAGAGGGGGGAATAAAATGTAAAACGTTGCAACTCCTAACGCATAATACGAGTATAAAAATCAGGGATGAGAGGAGGACTAGAAAATTGATCCATGAGAGAATAAATTCCAATTATTAATGAAAAAATGAGACGATTCTAACTTCTAAGATGAGCACAAAGAAAACCGAACAGCATAGTTCATTTTTTGGTCGTTATGCAATTGAGAAAACAAACAAAAAATTCCCTTAAAAAACTAGTTATCATCTATTTAGCAGTTTCCTCCTTGCTTTCCCTCGAACCCGAAAAGTTCTAAAAGAAAATTCCATTATCGTGGACGAGGATAAAGCTATGGTTTACCCATATTTTCCTCTATCCAAGCTATTTCTTCCCATACATCCACGCCACGACATTTAGTATTTCGATCACTCATGGGATCTATCTTATATAGGTCGCTTAAATATTTTCTGACTCACAACCTCTAACCTGTACATCGAACTTAAACACTTCGACTCATGTATGTCATCTTTATTCTTTTTTCTTTGCTATAAAGGAAGAAAACTTACACTCGTTGCAAGGTCGCATGATACAACATGCTTCCTATGGCAAGGATCATATTTGATACGTGAAGAACGCTAAACCTCTTCTCGAACCTTTGTCTCAAAGCATTTACGAGACCAACAAATGCTAAAATGAGGCACGGAATATTTGATACTGTGTTGAAGAATTCTGCAATATAAGAAGAGTAGACATAGTTCTTTTCACACCATTCAGGAGATGTAACAGGACCCCAGAAACTAGATATTGTTTCTGCCATTCTACGATTAAGTATGCTCGATAATACTTGAATTGCCTGCTGCTAGGATGGTTCAGAATTTACGAACCTGCAATCATGTTATTTAACAAGTAGTAAGTCAGTGCATAAATGATGAACACACACACACACAAGTCAAAGTAGAAACTGTTTCATATTCATCCCAAGCAAATACTGTAACATTCTGAATGAAATATGTATTTAATGCGAAAAATTGGCTGAATTATCAAAGAATTGCAGAAAACTACAAGCTTGATTGATCAAATTCATGACAGAAAATGGCGTGGATGATGACGAGAATAGACTAGCAAACCAACTGAAAACAACATGCAGATATGAAAGACCTACAGAAAAAGAGGCTTTCCACCTTCCTTCATTCCTTGGTCAAGTAAACGACAATGTCAAAAAATCAACTCCATCTTTCGAATTTTACTTCCAATAGCAGAAACCGCCAAACCTAGCTCGCACCAAGCTAAGAAACGAATTGCAGCTTTCATGAATCGCTTCCTAAATTCTTCACGCCGCGAATACGAGCGTCAAAAGTAAACTAACTTGAACACAACGACACAAATGGCAACGTTTTCTGAAGCAAATTTAAAACTACGTTGAACTTTTTCCATTTCGTCCATTTTTTCATCACTAATTTCTCGAGAAATTTGTGAAACAAACAAAATTTTATAATCTCTAGACATAAAAATCGCGGAGAAATCCAACTAAATAACCTAAAAAGGCAAATTCAAAACCGAACGAAAACAAAAATGCTAGAGGCTGAAGAAACTGCTAACCCTTCCGAGATGGATCTAAGCTAGAGAAGAGCCATTGTTGGGAGCTTGAAATTCAAATTCCTGAGGTCTTTCTGTCAATGGTGCGAAGCGATCAGAGGAGAACTGAGCTGAGAGTTCGAACCAATTAGGGCTTACCCAGAGGGAAGACGATGAGCGCGTGGTGAAGACATAAAGGAATATGACAGAAATCATTTGTGGCCGTTGGATTAAATACGTCAACGGCTGATATCATTCCGGTCATCGAGCCTTGGCGCGGCTCGTGATAAATGGAATCAAATCCGACTTTACGCGCCTTAACTCCGCATGTGATTTACGCGCTCACGTGCTTATGAGATCCCACCATCCTGTTTTTTAATGTTTCAAAATCACAAGCATATTTTAATTCTTCCAAATTAATTTAATATTATATTTAATACTATAGAAATTAAATTTAAATAATTAAACCCTATATGAAAGTAATTTTGAATATAAAATTTTTAAAATTAGTCTAAAATATATAATAATAATAATAATAATAAATCAAGATGCCAAATGTTCGAGAATGGGTTTGATCGATAATTATAAATAAAAATTAAGACATTTTGGTTGTGTTCGTGTTTCCACATAAGTAGCTGTACTCGAACATTCATCCAAATCTTTCAAAAAAAATGTGCATATAATAATTACATTTAAACTTTATCGAGACAGACAAAAGTTAATCAGTCTTATAGACAATTGTCTGTAACATAAATTTTTAAAATTTTTTTAACCATAGGGATATATTTATATTTAAAAGTGATATTATGGGGAATATTTTTTTTTGAAATATTTAAAAGTTTAATAATATTTTAAAAATATTTTAATTAAGTTCTTATGCAAAATATTGGAAAATTTTAAGATAAAATGTAAAAATATTAAATATTATAAGTTAATTACAAAAACAATTTTTTTTTTTTTTTTTTTTTTTCCTCCGGGTTTTCTTTTGGGGCGCCAATCCCCTGCCAAAACCCTCACAGCGAAGCATAAACCTTACGCCGGCACCGGAAGTAGCTCGAAAGCACAGCCATGGGGAAAGCCGATAACATCCTCCAAACTCTCGGGGACTTCACCAGCAAAGAGAATTGGGACAGTTTCTTCACCATCCGCGGCCATGGGGATGCTTTCGAGTGGTATGCCGAGTGGCCTCAGCTCAAAGATCCACTCATTTCTCACCTTCCTTCCCTCTCCCAAACAGCATCTCCTCAGATTCTCGTTCCTGGCTGCGGAAACTCCAGTCTATCTGAACAGCTTTACGACGCCGGCTTTCGATGTATCACCAATATTGATTTCTCTAAAGTTGCAATCTCCGATATGCTGCGCCGGAACGTGAGAGAACGCCCCGATATGCGGTGGCGCGTCATGGATATGACGAGCATGCAGGTAGCTAAGTT